TGTTGAGCAGTGATGACTTGGTGAGCCAAATTCTGCAGTTTGTTACTAGATAAGGGTGGAATCATTACAGTGCTCCTTACTGTTGGCAAATCACCAATTTCAAAGATGATCACCTCTGAGGTAGTTTCCATAGTGGTTGGTGGTGAGTCCCCATATGAGTTCATTTCCATCATGAGAGGTCTACGTTGACCAACTCTTCTATAATGACTGACACAAGTGACAGTTGGACAATTGCGCTTTCTTTTTGCTCTATTGTCAGCAATGGCCTTTAAGGTCGCTTCATTGCCAGGCATCTCATGAACGAATCTGATTTGGTTTTGGCCAATCTGTAAGAAGTCAGTTAGTCTTTCAAGTATCATTATTTCCCAGTCTTTTTCTAAGACTGAATATGGCACAGTGAGGGCTAAATGAATAGAAATACCTGAGCGTATTTCAATGGGCTCCTCTCCTTGCAGAACAACATACAAGAGGTTATCCATAATGTTGAAATAGTTGACACCAATAGATTCATCTAGCAATAAGGAAGCTGATTGAACCACAGTGGGTGGAATAAAACTTTCCCTCAGGAAAACACGGGGGCTCTGGAGCTCATGGTAGAATACAGCCAAAAGAAGCTTGGACGTACTTTTGTTCCCCAGTAGAAAGAAACGCAAAACTTGAGGAGTTTGATCCATAAAGCAGACTCTGGTAATTTTCCTGGTAGGTAAAATGGAATAGAAAGTAGATACAGACCCTAAGGTAGAGCAAGGAGTATTGGCATTTACACTACTAAAGGTGTCAACAAAACCACTAGTCACAGATACAACTGGATATAACTTCTGGATTGTCCAAGTGGCACCAGCATTGTCAAGAATAAGGACCACTTGGTCGGTCTGTTTGCAGATGAAGCCATGCATCAGTGATCGATATGTGCATTTCTGTTCTTCTCTAAATGTACCTATAAGATAAAGGAAAATAAACAAGCGACATATGAGTCATAATCTTTCAAAGATGATTTGTGATCCATCCATCACTCTCATCATTATCTGTAACCATGTGAAATATTTATTGAACATCTAATTGTGTTAGAAACTGAAAGTGCAAAGAAGTTTTGGGTAAAATAAGAAAAGACACGTGCATTAAGTAATAGACATTTAACATATTTTAAATGTATATGCAATATAATATATGCTATTTAAATTTAATAATGGAGATGATAGCTAAGTGAAAAAAGAGTTGAATAAGTAAAAAAATTAAGATGAAGAAATAATCACTAAGGGCTCTTGAGTGGAAAACAAACTGAACTGTTTTTTACCACTCTCACACAATGTAATACATGATGCTTCACCTCTGGTCAAAATGTGTGGGTGTTTCTCACTACCGACATCCAATTCTCCATTGGACACTAACTGGGTGTTATACAATTTAACTCAATATTTGACCTTATCTACCTGGAGTCAGTGTCAGAGACCACAAGTTAAGGGCTCAGTCTTACAATACTGCCCACACTTCAGATGCCAATCACAAACCCTGGGTTGTGACCTGTGCTTCTGACCAATCAGCTTTAAATCAGGGGTCCCACAACCCCCTCCTTGGGTTCAAATACTTTGCTAGAGAGGCTCACAGAACTCAGGGAAACTATTTATGCTTTCCCATTTATTATAAAGGATATTACAAAGGATACAGATGAAAAGCGAGATGGAAGGGGTGCTTAGGGCAAGGTACGGGAGAAGGGGTAAGGAGCTGTTGTGCCCTAAAAGCATCACCCTCTAGGCAACACCACATGTTCAGCCACTGGAAGCCCTCCAAACCTGTCCTGTTAGATTTTCATGCAGGCTTCATTATGCAGGCAAGATTTATTAAATTATTGTCCATTGGTGATCAACTCAACCTTCATCCCTTCTCTACTCCCCAGAGGTCAGGGGATGGAGCTTAAAGTTCCATTCCTCTATTCACATACTGTGTTCCCCTGGAAACCAATTCCCATCCTGAGGCTATCCAGGAATTCACCAAGAGTTGCCTTATTAGATTGGAAGATACTCTTATCACCCCAAAATTCCAAGGGATGTAGGGGCTCAGTGTCAGATGCTCCTATCACTCAAGAAATTACAAAGGTCTGAGGAGTTCTATGTCAGTAATCAGGGTCAAAGACGAAATATTAGAACAAAAGATTCACTTAGTACTACTATCTAAAGGGGTTTTAGCAGTTCTGCCTCAGGAACCAAGAGCAGAAACCCATATATCTGTATCATCTATATCTATATTTCTTGTTATATCACAATATCACAGATCTATAATGGAAAAAGGGTAAGGGAGAACAGGTGATAATATTACAAGTCAGTGGGAGAAGAGGTAGATTGAGAAGACTGGAATGGAGAATTTATGAAGGTATATTAAAATTGAAGAGGTATAGTGACCAAGTCGTGAGA